TTCATTAGAAGGTAATCCACGGAGGCAAGGATTTATCTGTTGTGTTTACTTCAGTACCCCCAGTACAAAAATGATGCCCAGCAATGCCTAGTTGGTGATCAATAAATATTTGCTCAGTGAATGAATCAACAAATAAATGGGTGTATGAATGACTAGGGAAAGACTAAACAGTTATAAGTGTCTTTCACATGGAAAATTAATATTTAGAGATATCTATTTTTATTATGGGATCTCCTGTTTATGAAATCAGGATTTTAGAGGGATCCTAGGATATAATAGTTGTCATTGTGGTGCCATGACAATATAACGATATAGCTCATTGAACAACACAAGAAAACTGAGAATTAAAGCAAATCCTTGAACAATTCTAAAACGATGATTAGTCTTAGCAGTAATTGTCACTCCTTAAGGCAAGGGATATGGGATATTTGGTAAATCTTGCCCTTTTAGGTAGCCTGTAAAAGTTTCACTTTTAATGATGTGTACTTCCTACTTTCTCAGACATTCTCTCTCATTCTCTGTCTCCCTCCCTCTCTGTCTCTCTTTCTCTCTCATACACACACACACACACAAGTGTCCACACGTACCCCCCGTATAAGCAGACAGTCTAAAAGACAATGTACATGACCAAGGGATGGGATGTCAAAGCATGTCTTCTTGCCTGATATTAGGATGAAATCATGGGATGCTTACACATTTTACATTTCTCAGCTCTCCTTGCCCTCTACACTCCCAAACAAAAATTGAAATTTTAAGTTTTTAAAATGTTTTCCAGGATCATATTATGCCTTTACAATGTATTTTTATAATGTATCTTTAGATAGTTAATTAAAATTTTTTGTGGATGGTTGATAAGACACCAGAGAACATATTATTAAAAACTACTTCTCTCCTTTCCCCTCAATTCAGTAGAATTCTCCAGTGATATAAAGACTGCCTTTTATCAGAGGCTTTCCATCTATCCCAATTTTCCATAAGTCACTGTGCTCTAATGACATTTTGTCGGATGCAAAACTTGAAAATAAAAGAAGAAAATTCACTTTTGACTTTCTTACACCAAAAATGTCTGAGTGATAGATGGAACTGTTGTAGATATGGCGGTTCTCTGGTTCCTGTTGTTAGTCATGGGTTATTTTGATCAGCTACAAAGTAATAGTGAGTGACTGGAATACAAAATACTTGCAGTTTTCTGCAACTTCGGTGAAATGCTAATGAAAGTCCCTGAGATTTTAAACACCCTACTTGTTTTTCTATCAATTTCCATTGTTTTATGATCCAAGTACAGGAGGGATCCTAAGGAGCCCCCTTTGCTGATTACATGTCACTCCGTTTTGGGGAGAAGCAGAGGTCAATGATTGAAAAGAGAAATTACTTTTTGAATCAGGAACACTGCAAATAATAGAAGTATCCAGATCAGCAGATCTCAAGAAAACTGGTTTGTTGAATTGTTAGTAGTATGGTCTGCTGTGATGAGTAAAAACTACAGTTTTCAGACTAATTGGGTCAGTTATAAACACATGGAAATCTGGATGGAATATCTTAGGATAACATTTCTCATAATTAGCTTTATTCCTATCTTAATTCTCTTTGGTTACTCTCCCAGATAAGACTCAGAATTTTATGATCCAAAGAAGGTTTAAGGTAGGTTCTAACACGAGGACAAAATGAACCATATCCAGGCTTGAAGAGACCATTAGTTACTTTTGTTCTCTGGGGAGATTAAATTAGTAGAAATGAAGGTGGGTTTTCATAGTCAGAGAAGGTACAAATGATGCTTGCATGCAGTTGGGGACCTTGGGGCCCAGGAAGAGGATGGTAGTGCACATACATAAGCATCTTCACAATGGTGAACTTTGGATGGAGTTCAAATTTTGTCCCTAAAAAAACTAAATGGATGATAATCTTGGTCAGTATTTCATAGGTCAGCCAATTTCTCTGACCCATATCCACTATGCTAACGTTCTCCTCCAGCCCTCTGGCTAAAAATTTGGACCTTGGACCACTATATTTAACTTCATCCATTATTCATAGTCCTTCATTGCTTCTAACATTAGTACATGAACTGAGAGTTCTGTAAGATTTTCTATAACATGTGTAATTGTTGGAATTTCCTGTTTATTATCTTGGTGATGTTTTCCAACAATTATGGTTTTATTCTTAAAGGACAAGTGATGAACACTTCTTTGCAGGGGCAAAAACTATGGTGTGTTCAAGCAAATTGCGTTTTTTGACCCAAGATATTTTCCTTCCAATTCATATTGATTGTCTACAACATTTGTAATGAAATGGAGTCAGAGAGTAAACTCAGGGCTATGGGGTGTATTTGTGTTAGAGATCAAACACTTAAAGCAGGATTTATGGAAGCAGAGGGCTGTGGGTCAATAGCTAAAAAAAACCTGGACTATAAACAAGGAAAGGACTTTCTGAGGTGTGAAGGAGAGGAGAAAGGAGACTGGAGGGGGTGAGGAGGAAGATAAGGGGCAGGAAGATAAGCAGAGAATCTGGTTTAGTAAAAAGTATACATCTGAAAAGAATTAGAGAGAAGGAGGCCTGAGAAAGGCTGATTCACCTCAAGGATCAACAGAGGCCCTTTCCTCTCCGTCTTGCTGACAGGGATTGTATTGTAAACATTTCCTTCATTCTCTCCCATGCTCTCCTTTTGGAGTAACTCTAGGACACTGAAATTTGGGATCAGTGCAGCATAAACATCAGAGACAGGTTCAGATGCAAGTCAGAGACAGCTACACAATTGACTTTTGCTGTTATCATAATTTAATGAGAAAAATCAAGTATATTAGAGCTCAGAGCCTTTGTTCAAAGTGAAAACATCTGTAAAGATCTATGAAAATGCTATTTTGACATAACTTTCAAATCCCGTGTTATTAATAAGGAATCAACTTTCTACCAACACTAAATTCTGTGTTGTGATTTTAAGTTCCTCAAAGTGTTTCCATTTACTATTTCATTTTTGGATAAATCTACAGAGGAGTACAGTGAGCACTAACCTCATTCTACAGATTAAAAACTAAGGCCAAATATTTAAATGCCTATTTAAGATCCCAGAGGCAGGAGAAGAAAAAATCTTCTCTAGCTGAGTCAGCTATGATGTCAAGTCTTCTGATTCCTAAATCATTGCTCTTTCTACTAATGCCACTCTGCATCAACGCATTCTTCTCCAACAAGCCCACCTGGCTGGCACAGTGCTCTCGTCCTGCAGAGGAGGCACAGGATTTAGGATCGTCTGGCTCTCTACAGAGATGAGGAGCTCCAAGTCTAGTTTCAAGAAAACCTTCCCACATCCCCAAATGGCATAAATCAGTTTAGCATGACCTAGCCGGTTTCTTTGCTAGGCTTTCACTCTTGATAACAAAAAGCATAGTTAGATACACAGAGTTCAGATAAAACTATGACTTCTGTGGTCCAGGAGTGAGTTATTAGATGGACCACTTCCACAGAGGTTTACGGTTTCATTAAGCCCAATCACATGCATGTTTCTCTTACTAATTTTTTTTTTTTTTGTCTCCTCAAATTGCTCAGCCTTGGGGATTTGAAAAAGCCCTGTTCAGTTTCACTCTGGCCCTTCTCATATCTGAGAGTTAATGACTCTTTAACTAGGATGTTATCTTGAATTCCATTTATATGTGAGAGACCATGACTTACGTGTGGGAATTAGATTTTAGTGGTAGTTCCTAGAAAGCACACATAAATCATGAAGTAAAACATTAAACTCAAGTGCAAAGTAATTTAATTTTTAAGAAGAATGTGGTATTCAGATAAAAGAAACCGTAATGTTACATTCATTTACTTTTATATGTATAAAAGTGTGGAGTTGTACTGTCAGTTCCAGGTATCAGTTTAAGTAAGCACCTTCCAGGCTATTTCACAATCATTCTTCCATTGTTCCATAAACAGATGATGTGAATACAAGCTGTTAAACTAAAAGTTACCACAATAATATAGCTGAATAAAGCAGCAGGGGTGATTTGAGAGGAATATACTTAGAAGACCAAACATGAATGTTAAATTGCCAGAATATACCCTTTGAAAATCCACAGATATAAGGCCATGTCTGGTATACAAAAAAGAAACAAATAAGTTGGCTAAAAGTCACATTTTATTTAATGTACCACGGACCTGCTACAAGGTCACATGAAAATGGGACTCAAATTGTGTAGCCAATACACTAAAATGGTAGCCCTCAGAAAACTGAGTGTGCTGAATACAGTCTCATCCTAAGAAGATCTGGCTCACTTTGAAGTTGGTAACGGAATAGGTATTATTACTGAATTTAACCTCTTAAGTTCAATAATTCAGGGTCCCAAGAATCTACCCGGGGCTTCCATGATCATGTTTGACTCCAGTTAACCACACCAGGGAGTGGAAGACTTCCCTTTTTAAAACAATCTTCTAATAACACAATTTGCTACCCATCTGTCAGCATCTTCCCATTATGACTATCCACATGGTTGTGCCTCTGATGGTAATGAGGGTCCAGTGTATCACCATCAGCATCAGGCATCCTCATTTTTATGCAATCTCTTATTGACTACAGATTTGGCTCTTTTGAAACTCTGTCTCTGGACCCATATTAAAGGCATGAGTACCCCCTAAAGTATTTAAAACAGAATCACTTTTCCCTTCTTTCTCCCCAATGATTTTATACTTTGCGTCCCTTTGTGCTCTGATAACTACCTCTCTTCTGGGTAGACAGAGTTTCATGGTTCAAAACGAAAACCATTTCTCCCACTTGGTCCAATTGTACAGAATAAATTAATTTTGATATTAGTTTCCCTATTGTCAACCATCCCAATAATACTAAGTTCAATGTTAATGGATTATAGATTTCTCTCGTGTTTACTGTGGTTTTGCAAGGTAATTGAATAGAGAGCTGTATTGGTCAAAAAATATTACACCTAAACAACATTAGTTTCATATCTAGTGCAAAAAGCAAGAACTCAGTAATATTTAATGTTCTTCATTGCTATATCTCTAAATCTTACCACTGCAAGCAAATGTGAAAATCCTTAAATTGCTGGCCTCAGTGTTCCCATGTCAACTGGCATATGCTCAGGTTGGAGATCCTGCCAAAAGTCAAAGGAAAACATTTATAAGACAGAGCCTGATGGATGATTATTTTAATCCTGCATGTCCAGCACTGCTGGCAAGCTTGGTTTACGAATGCCTGCTGCTGCTGCTTTAATGATAAGACCTCTTAAATACAGCTGAATGCAGGGCACCAATGGATTTTCTTTTTTTTTTTTTTCCCTGCCCTAACTAGGAAACTGATTATTGATCTCCACCTGGATGTTCCTATTGAGAACAAGCCATTCATGAATATAAGCAGGAAGAAGAATGGTGCGCTGCATGGGTAGTTTTAATAAACTGCAATAGGGACATAGTCTCTGTGGGAAAAAAGGAAACAATCCAATCTTAATGAAGCATGTGCTTACAGAACTGAAAAGTCTGTGGGCATTCTATGGGCCAAGCATCAGACAGTCCAGGGCACCTGGGCTTTGACTGAGTGCCATGTCAGAGTGACCCCAAAGACACCCTATGCTCCAACTCAATGGAAGCTTCCAAGCTCTCTCTATCGCCCTTGAGATGAACTTTGAAGGCTGGAATGGAGTGATCTTGCTCTGACCACACTACTAGGATAGAGGGATCTGAACCTAGAAGCTGCTATATAGAAACGAAAGGGATGTGAGCCCATTGGGAAACTCAAAAATCCAAAACCTAAAGACAGGAGGGTAAAAAGAAGCTGAATGAATATCCCCAGGAGTTCTCTGAAGCTGCTGGAAAACCAGAAAAGCCTAAGGTCAGGAATAGACAGTCCACTGAGCTTAACCCAGGGCCTGCACTGCTCAGCGGCCTCGGGGGTTCTAGGTCATTCACTGGTAGGAGGGCGTCTGGGGCAGGTATTTCAAATACATCTGAACAACTCAGCCTGATCCAAAGTAACAGATATCCATCCACTTGTTTATCACAATTTTTCTTTTTTTTTTTTTACTTTCAGATCTAAGGTGTTTTAAAGTTAGAAAATGTCAGACTTAGTAATTCTTACATGGGTTTGGTTCTACCAGTATTTGAGTGTGTGTGTTAGCTTGTTTAATGCTAAGAGGAGATATAACTTTTATATTCACCATTTGCTAAAGTATTTTTTGGAATAATACACTTAATATTTCTATATTAAAAGAAAAAACAAAGCAGGACTATGGAAGTAATTCTTCAATACATGCAATTTTGACTGTAAAAATAAGAGTATACACTAACGAAGCTTCTTGAAAACGAGGGTCACAGGGAAGACGTCTCCATACCCGACAGAGTGCCTATTGTGGAGGTTTCGGCTCCTTCTATGTCAAGTTAGGGGAAAAAACATTTTGCTTGAAAAATGGAAAATTACAAGCTTTAGCATAAACAGTTATGTTTTATGAAAATAGTTATGTTTTTCAAATACACTTTCTGAATTCTTCATTACTTTAATGTTTCAAAGGCCAACAAATCACTTAAGATAGAATTATCATTAGATTGGTATTATTCAAAACTGAAAATATTTGGGGAATTTTTGAGGAAAGCAGTTCCCAAATGTGAGTGTGCATGAAAAGTACCCAGAGAGTTTGTAAAAATTCATATTCTTTGGCCCTACTTCCTAAAGATTCTTAATCAAGAGATCAGGGATGGGGTCCAGGACTATATATTTTCAAGGAGAACAGAGCATTCTAACGTACCTACCCCAAAGATTCAATCCAAGAGCTAAGGAGTAGAGGCCACCTTCGGACACAGTTAGTGCAAAAACCTTTTCTGTTTTAGCCAGCCCCTTCTTTTGTTTTCTGGGTACAGCTGACATAAAGTGAGGCCTGAATTTAGCAGAAGTATATGTAAGAGGAACAGCAACTGTGATATTTAAAGGGGGAACTGGCTTTCTAAAAATCAGAAACTGCCATCGACAAATCAGGTCAGACTTGGAGGGCAAATATAAACCCAAACTTGTTCCAGTTGTGTTGAGATGCTCTCTGTACAAAGTTGTTAAACCAAAAAAAAAATCCAGAGGCACTTTCCATGGCATCTAAATATGTTTCCTTTTAACATCTGCTTTGTTAACGCTGCCTTGAGTAATAAGGTGTAGCAGAAAGGCTTTTGACCTGCAATCCAAGACTCCTCCCTTAAATAGTTTGCAAATTTTACGTGTTTGTGTGTTTGATGCATTTGTCCCCTTCTCATCCCCTACTCCTAGAAGGTCCATAGCTTTCATCAGATTTTCTTTCTTTTTTTTTTTGAGGAAGATTAGCCCTGAGCTAACTACTGCCAGTCCTCCTCTTTTTGCTGAGGAAGCCTGGCCCTGAGCTAATATCTGTGCCCATCTTCCTCTACTTTATATGTGGGACGCCTACCACAGCATGGCTTGCCAAGTGGTGCCATGTCTGCATTCGGGATCTGGGCCGGCCAACCCCGGGCCGCTGAGAAGCAAAACGTGCGAACTTAACCACTGTGCCACTGGGCCGGCCCCCTTCATCAGATTTTTAAGAAGGATTCTGACTCATAGAAGGTTAAGAACCTTTGGACTGGCAGGCTGAGGATGTTGGTTCTAATCCTAGCTCTGCTTCTAAATGGTTTTGTGGCCTCCAGCAAATGATGTCACCTCTCTACACCTCAGTTTTCTCATCTGTGAAATGAGAAAGCTGAACTAGAAAAATCTAGGACCTGGTCCCGTGGCTGAGTGGTTAAGTTCACGCGCTCCGCTGCAGGCGGCCCAGTGTTTCATTGGTTTGAATCCTGGGTGCGGACATGGCGCCACTCATCAAACCACGCTGAGGCAGCGTCCCACACACCACAACTAGAAGGACCCACAACGAAGAATATACAACTATGTACCAGGGGGCTTTGGGGAGAAAAAGGAAAAAAATAAAATCTTTAAAAAAAAAAGAAAAATCTAAGTATTCTTCCGGCTCTACAATTCTGCGAAATGCCAGTAAAACTGGAAGCATCGAGCTGGAAACTACCTTGCCATGTTTGTTGGTCTAATTTTCTTATTTAGGCCCTGGGGAAAAAAATGAAGCCCAAAGAGCTTATCATACAATACTTAGAGTGAGAGATTAAAGATCGAACCCAGAATTTCCAACTCATATATCAATTCACTCTTCACTCTAACACACAAAACGTTCATAAAGTTCTATTCCCAGCTCACAGTTTTGCTCATTGACCAAGGGAGTATTTCAGGCAGAATTTTCCTTTCTTGGCTGGGAGAGGGGTACAATGTATCCTTTGGGGTTCTCTCCCAGATTTTCTCAGGGAGAGAACATATGCTCAGGTCCCCCGAGAACTGTGCTCCCACGCTCACAGCTGTATGACAGGCAAGAGAAAGCTGCCTACAAGCTTAAAAAAAATAATCAGCGTTTGCAAAAGTACTCTGGGGTGTCTTCAGGAAGTGTTCCAGGAGAATCGCTATTATGAAAGATCACTAGGTTCTCTTCTCCCGGATCCGACTCCACACTCAGACATTAATATTTCAGGTGCATCAGTGAATTCATTTACTCATCCAAAGTTCAACATTCAGCAAGTACGCCGGGCAACAACAGACCGAGTCCTTGCTCTCATGCAGATTACTGTCCAGCAGGGACTATGGCCTCGTGGCAGGTCTGCTGCTGTCCTGCCTGTGTGCACTGAGAGCTAGGGGGCGGCACCACCCCCCCAAGAGAGGGGCTCATGCTTCCTTTGATTTGCCTTCTCTCCAATTTGCAAACACATCTCAGAAGAAGGTACTCATTTATTCCTCTCTTATGGCACTTGATGTGCGGGAATTCTACACCCTCCTCAGTGTGCAGGAATTATAAATTGATGACTTTAACTTCATTTTATAGATAGGGAAAGAGTGGTCTAGAAAGACAAGGTCCCAAAGTAATTGTTAACGAATTAGTACAAAGCAAAAGGAAAATACATTTTAGTTTCACATTTGCTCTTCGCTATATTCTTTGTAAGATATTTTAAAGATGTTATTTCATCTAATTCTCAGAAAAATCTTCCTCAATGGATATACGATCATCCTCATTTACAGATGCAGTAAGAAAGTATCAGAGAGGATAAATAACATAAACCAGGTCAAACAGCTACAAGTGGTAGTTGGCAGGGGTGAGGTTCAAACCCACCTCTGAGGATGCCAGACCATGCCAAAGGCAGTCCTTTGCACCAGCCCTGTCCACTGCCACACGGGCTCACAGGGATCAGAAGAGAAAGTGTTGAAATGTACTAAGAAAGGAAATTTGGGCAGCCCCAATGGTAAACAGCAGGTCCCTGACAACTTGGTCAAGGGCCCAATCTACTACCCTACTCTTGAGACCCATTCTACTTCCCCTACAAAGGGGCAGAGGATGGAGAAAGGCATGAGAGAGCCATCTTGGTGGGAAAGAAAGTGAAGACGGGCAGAATCTACAAGTACCTGAGCTTCTGGCTGCTTCTCAATCAGGTGGGCTTTGGCAATCATGATAAATCTTTAAGCTCCAGGAATGATAACAGCTCAGCAGTTGTAAAATGTGAAAAAGCTCAGGTTTCCACTTTGTATACACTCCTCTCAAAGGGAAGAGAGGATCTCCCGATCCTCAGTTCCAAATACTGTCCACCTTATACGCATCTGAAGTATTTGGCAGCTTTTCACACAAAAAGGTAGACAGGAACTGGGCTTGAAGAGTGAATGCAGCAATTCCTCTGCGGATCAGTAACATTCTATATCTGTATCTACATTCTATAGCCACTGCAAGTGGACTTTGCCCAAATATTCTTGCAACTATGACAGCCTAGGTACCTCCAAAATAATAATAGCCACACTTTCTGGTGAAAAATTTGGGATTTTTCCATTTGCAAAGTATCTTTACATGCATTGTTCTTTAATTTCCACAAAAACTATATAAAGTGGGTAGGATAGTTATGGTTAGTCTAATTTTAGAAATAAGGAAATTGAAGCTAAATGAAGTGTCCAAGATAATATGTAGCAATGTAAAAACAATACAAGTTGTACTTACTGAGTGCCATGCACCATTGCAAAGGTTATATAACTCACTTAATCCCCATAACCACTCCAGGAAGTAGGTAT